GATGACTGGCGCAGGTTAGATCATCTGGTTGATGACTGGTGCAGGTTCGATCATCTGGTTGATGACTGGTGCAGGTTTGTCTTTAGACTTGTGTCCCCTTCCTGCAGGTTTCCTCTTCCTCCGCCCTTAATTTGGTTATAAAGCCTTTAAAAATATACACTTTACTAGAACACAGTCTAACTTTCATAGATGGAGTAAAATCTTTTTTGTGTCATGAAAATATTTTACTTGTAACTAGTTGAACTAAATAATTCAGAAGTGCTCACATTGTGTTCTAATGTTGATGTGAGCTGCAGCTGGCCAGTTGTTTTTTTAATTTTATTATCTGCTGAATATTTACTGGATTAAAAGAAAGAGAAAAATCTAGTTTTCTACTTACGGTCTTCATTCCTGCTGCTTCCGATCATCCCCACGTTCCTCCATCCTCTGATCCGTCATTTCTTCACGTCCATCCTGAGAAAACCGGGCCGTCCGTGTGGATGAGCTCAACTTTTTAAAAATGATTTTGTTTAAATGTTGTGATTCTTTGGTTTCAGAGAGGACTGAACTCCTTCACTGCGTTTCTAACAACATTAAGCTGCAGTTGTGGAAATAGACTAAACACACTTTAGTTTACAGAGTGAACAGTTATTTTAATAAGATTAAGGATTTAATTTTGAAAAGACAAAACTATTAATAATCACGTGGGGCATTTTGAACTTTTTAAATCCTAAAACCAGCTGATTTATTTCAGTGTTTGTGCTGGTTTGAGAGACCAAGACAGGAAATGTTAACAAAGAGGAGTTTGTCCCCGAGAGCTGCTGGTTAGAAATCTCCTCGCTCACGAAGAGCCACTGATTTGTTCAAGTTTTTAAAAGTTTCTAAATTAATCACAGGGGAAATCAAACATCCAGCCTAAATATTTAAACAGTATTTTTATAATTCCCTTTATTTCTGCTTCATGTTTACATTAAAGAGACGTTTGGACCGCTCCGTGCAAACATCAGCTGTGAGTTATTTACCTGTCGGTGCCCAGATTCATTGCCGTGATTATTAAATATGATAACGACGTCAGATTTTAACATGGCAGAGATAACGGGAGCGGGCGGTCCAACCTCCTCTTATCTCAGGCGTTCATCAACTGTAGGTCGCTGCTTAAAAAAAACACGAAACACGTCGGGTGTGATCCTACTGCAGCTAAAATATAAACATGAGCTGTATTTCTAATAGTTTAGTCTTTGCAGTTTTCAAAATGGCTGAAGTGCACGTCATTTTAAACAAAAATACTGTTTTGGATGCTCAACAAGAGCTCCAGTTTGAAATCAGATTCACTGAAGAAGCTGAAACTGAGTTGTTAAAATTAGAAGAAGCAGAACATGAGCTAAAAATTAAAGGTAGCCAAAAGTAGCAAATGGCTAAATAATAAAACAGAAAAAAAAATAATAAAAAATGTTAGCTAAATGTAACACAATGCTAGAAGCAGAACACAAGCTAAAATCAAGAACATAAAAAGGCTAGCTAGAAGCTAAAAATAGCAGACTAGCTAAAAGCAAGCAGCAGCTAAAAGTAGCTAAACGCTAGCTAAAAGCTGAATTGTAGTCAAGTGTTAGCTAAATGCTTACAGTAGCAAAACGTGAGCTAAACAAGGTTAGCTTAAAATTAAAACTACCAGTCTAAGGTCGATCCAAACGCTTACTCAGCCTCTTCGTGTGCCCACCTGTACCTTTATAGACAGGAAGTCCATTCTAAAGTGTAAACAGGTAATCAGTGCAATGTAACCAGTTATTCAAATAATTATCCTGACTTGTTTTATTTATCCATTTTTTTGTTTTTCTGTTTTCATGTTGTTTTATTAGTTTTATTGTTTTGTTTTATTATCAGCATGTTTTTCCTCTGTCCAGTAATCTGTATATTCTTGTTTCAATAAGATATGTTTCCTGTATGTTTTACCTTAAAAAACTCCAATAAATATATACAACAACAAAAAAAAACTACCAAAAGCTAAAAATAGCAGAATGGTAGCTAAAAGCTAAATGTAACAGTAGACTAGCTAAAACAAAAATAAGGGAGCAGCATTTAAAAGAAGCAAAAGTGGAATTGAAAGTGACATGAGAAGAGAAAAACAGCCAACTTTCAAAGAGAAGGAATTAAAGAGACATCTATTAATTTATTATCTATTTATTCTATTTATTTATTTATTTATTGAATTAAAGAGACATCTATTAATATTATTATTATCTATTTATTCTATTTATTTATTTATTGAATTAAAGAGACATCTATTAATTTATTATTATTATCTATTTATTATATTTATTTATTTATTTATTGAATTAAAGAGACATCTATTAATATTATTATTATCTATTTATTATATTATATATTTTTATTTATTTATTGAATTAAAGAGACATCTATTTTTGTACAGGAAATAGTAAAAAATGTAAAGTAAATATTTTGAAAAGTATACAAGTGGTAAAAAACAAAAGTCATAAGACTTATTTTCTAAAGTAGCTGAATGTTTTGAAACATGAAAAGCTAAAATAGCACCGTGTCAAATGTTGGTTTGCAGAAAACATAATAAAATAAACAATAAGATTGTTGAATCGGATGTTCCTGACCGTGGTTTTTAACTTCCTGCTCCTTCACCGTGTTCAGGAAAACAACGGTAAAATCATCACTTTCACCGTTTGTGTCTTTCAGTTCCTCTTCCTGTCTGAGGTGCTGCAGTGGAGAGCTCAGAGCACTCCTGACCACGTCCTGTACACACTCCTCAACTCCAGGGTACACACACACACACACACACACACACACACACACACACACACACACACGAAGATACTGATTTCTTGTTTGCTGCATCTATTTGTAGCTAAAAGCTCTTAAATTGAACTAAGCCTTAAACATTGCGCAACAAACAGATGCATGAATGGATAAATGCAACAGGTGTGGAGGAAAGTTAAATGACATCTGCGAGGTTTAAATTCGATAAATAAATTTAACGCAGTCGGAGCCTGACGTTAGAAACTGACCACAGGTCTGAGCTGGTGACGGTGAATAAATCTGATCGTAGCGCTAGATTACTGATTACGTTTTGTTAATCCCTGAGCTGCAGCAGAAACTCTGACACACCTGCTGATGTCCTCTGCTGATTGAACGTGTCAGTCACCTCCGTGTGTGTGTGTGTGTGTGTGCACTTCAGGGTACCATAGCCAGCTCTCTGACTTGTGTCCAGCTGCACAAGAAAGCAGAGAAGATCGCCGCCGTGCTGGCTGAACGGGGCCACCTGCAGGACGGGGACCACGTGGCGCTGGTTTACCCCCCAGGTGAGCTCAGGACCGACAGAGCGCCAGAACTTTAACCATTTGTTTTTAATGAGGGCGTAAACGAGGTCAGAGTGGACGTTTTGTAAACCAGGAAGGACACGGCAAAGACGCTCAGGGAGTCTGATGGAATGGAGCGCCGCAGGGATGAGGACCAGAATTGTAATGTCCCTCAGAGACGGGAGACCGATGTCCTTCATGTCGGGACAGATCAGGACAGATTATGTTAAAGCAACGATCAATTAATGACGTCCACAGTTCATCGCTCAATTTTATAACTTTTTCTTTTCCTCCCCTCTAGAACTACACGCTGTGACAACTTTCAGTTCTCATCATAAAATCATTTTTAATACGCGTCCATTTGTTTGTTTTCACGGCTCTCGCCCTGTTTTCTCAAACGTCTCCGTGTTTCCTCTCAGGTGTCGACCTGATCGCGGCGTTTTACGGCTGCCTGTACGCCGGCTGCGTCCCAATAACCGTCAGGCCCCCTCACCCGCAGAACATCTCCACCACGCTGCCCACCGTCAAGATGATCGTGGAGGTAAGAGCGGTCAGGTTCACTCGGTCCTGGTGCCCATCAGGCTGATGAAAACAACAAACACTAATCTAATAATCTAATAATCTAATTAGCCTCGTCACATTAATGAATGTCAGATTTACTTTATTTGTTATTTATCATCCAGGTTGAGTGAAAAACTGACTACAGTGTTAAAAACATTTGTGTGTTCAGGCCGGTGGAGGTTTGTAGACTCCTGTGAATGTGTCTTTTCCAGAGTTATGAGTCACTCCAAAGAGAAGGTCTAAATAATCATAAATAATAATAAATGATATTAAATAATAATAAATGATAATAAATGATAATAAGTGATAATAAATAATAATAAATGATAATACATTTTAATAAATGATAATAAATGATTAAATCAACGTGAAGGATGAAAGAAAAGAGTGAACATGAGCTGGAGCTCCGAGCTGCAGTCGCTCTGCAACAAATCTCAGTTTAACAGCTACATTATGAATTTAACACATTTATTAAATTATTTTTGCGTGTGCGTGTGCGTGTGCGTGTGTGTGTGTGATGAATCATGCAGGTGAGTCGGTCGGTGTGTGTGATGACCTCTCAGGTCATCTCCAAGCTGCTGAAGTCCAAGGAGGCGTCGGCAGCCGTGGACGTCCGGATGTGGCCTCCTGTCATAGACACAGGTATACACACACACACACACACAC